GAAAGAAAGAAAGAAAGAAAGAAAGAAAGAAAGAAAGAAAGAAAGAACTAAAGGAACAACGAAAAAGAGAAGCATATCAATTTACTTCTCTTCATGTTGTATGTGGGCTTCCTGTGTATCCTTGGGTCTTCTGCAATCTTCTGTTAATTTTGTATTGCTGGAGATGGAACCAAGAGCCTACTCTGCTCCCTCATCTGTGTGTGTGTGTGTGCTCCTGCATGTGCTGTGCACTTGTATGTGTGGGTGGGGAGGCTGTGGGCACACGGGCAGGTGTGTCTGCATGTCTGTGTAGCAGTTGGAGGACGATCTCAGTTGTTATTGTTCAGAAGCTGTTCACCTTGGTGTTTTGAATCCGACTTGGAACTCATCAAGCATGCTAGATTTTGCCTTCCATGGCTGTGAGTCTGGAGGCAGGCGGGACATCTTCCCAGCTGGCTGTTCTTTTCCTTTCTGTTTTACCCCATTAATCTTCCCTGTCCCTGAACATAAGTGTCGACGTATCTACAATGATAAACATTTTCTTATTTTGTAATTATGTGCATATGTGTGTGTTTGCATGAGTATGTGCATGTGAGTGCAGGACCTGTGGAGTCAGGAAGTGGGCATGGGATCCCCTCACGCTACAGTTACGGACAGCTGTTAGTCAACCTATGTGGATATTGGTAACTGCACTTGGTTCCTCTGTAAGAGCAGCAAGTGTTTGTAACTGCTAAGCCCTCTCTCCAGCTCCAAGTGTCTATATATACATATAGGTTTTCTTCCTTTTCTCTCTTTCTTTTTTCTTTTCCTTGTGTGTGGGGGGGGGGGCAATGCTCTGCAGGTCTTAGGGAATTTACGGGATCATCTCACTCTGCCTTGTGTCAGTTTATTTTCAAATGTTTTGTTCTCTCTGATTCTACGGCAGATGGAGTGTGCAACAGAGTTCTCACATGTTGATTTTTACAGTGCTGCTTTGCAGGGCTTGGGCTTGTGTATCAACAGGGCATCTGTGAATAGAGCCGTTTAATGCCTTTACAACGTGGAAGCCTGTATTTCATTGTCTTATCTAATTGCTTTGGCAATTTGGTCAGATGGAAGCAGTCAGAACAGGCATTGTCCCAATTAAAAGAAATTACTTTATTGCATTGATTTGTGTGTGTGTGTGTGTGTGTCTGTCTGTCTGTTTGCGCGTGCACATGTGTGCGCGCACTTGCTCATAGGATTCCTGGTGCACACGTGGCAGTCAGAGGATAACTTTTGGAAGTGTGTTCTCTCCTTCCATCATGTGCTGGAACTCAGGTCATCAGGCCTAGTAGCAAGCTCCATAAACCACTGAGTTTCCTCACAGGCCTTGTCCTGAAGAAATCTTGCAGCTGTCCTCCTCCCCTGGTCCATACCCCACCCCCAGCCCAGGACTGCTGTGTCTCGTTGAGGTTGCTGCCTTCTGTGTGTAAGAGGATGGGTTTGGTGAAGGGATTTCCCATCTCAGCAGAGAGCAGCATGGAGGAGGGCTTCCTGCCCTTGCTCATTGAAGAGTCACATAGCACGTTTTTAGGTGTTGAGATAGATGCCTGTATCCCCGTGTTTGCAAACCCCCTTGCCATAGAGAGGAAAGCTTTCAGTGAACAGGCATTTCCACATCTGTCCCCCGGGTTTACTGCTCTCAGTTTCATTTGCTTCTTTTTAAAAAAAAATTTATTTTTTATTACATATTTTAATAAAATAAATTAAAATGTTCGTTTTAATTTAAGTTTTGCAGTTTGAACCTAGGATCTCATGTATGTTAGGCAAGCGCTTTCGGCCCTTGCCGAAAGCTCCTTTCCTCACCCTCTTTCTATGACTGCTTTTTACATTTTGAGATAGTCCTTGAACTTAACTGTGGCCCGGAAAGCCTTTAACTCTTGATCTGTGTCAGTCTCCACATGACTAGGTTGGCAGGCCTGTGCCACCAGGCCCCGCTTGGCCTAGGTTTTCTGAAGGACTCTGCTTTCATTTGATGTCTGCCCACTGCTGGTCTCAGCGTGTGAAGAAGGGCTTCCTTCTCTTTCCTTTCTCTGCTGAGTTGGGGCAGAGTGTGTAATCTCTTAAGCAATTGCTTATGTCCGCTGGCTTGACCCTCTTCACTTGGTTGGAAGACCTTTGACCTCTGATTTGACTCCTGTGTTGGGCGAAGGTTTATCTGCTTCACTCAGAATCATCTTGGAAGGTGGCATCAATAGGAGTCTGCCTGTGTCATCTTGGGTATTCGGATGTGTGCCCCATTGTCCCTAACATCCTTTTGCAACCTTTATCCTGTGAAGTCAGTGGGTCTGTCCTCTGGAATCTCCAGTGTCATAGTGAGCACTCCTCCCTGGTTGAATTGCTTGCCATGTGAATGCTTGTTGCTATGGAGCTTTTCAAACCATCAGCTTCTGGTGCTGGGCTCTTCCTCTGCAGTTGCACACAGCCTAATCCTCATTGTCTCCAGTCTGCTGCCAGCTTCCAGCTCAGCTAGAGTCTACAGTTGGGAGCCACTGTTCTGGTCTCTGCCTCCCCAGCATTGGGATTCCAAGTGTGCATCACATACCCAGCTTTTCATGTAGGTGCTGGGGGCTAGAAGCCCTCATGCTTTCAAAGAAAACACTCATGAGGTCATCTCCCCAGCAAGAGCATTTTGTTGAATTGCCTCCTACTTAAGATTTTTCTATCTTTCCCTCTGCCATTGGTCTCCAACTTCATTTATGGCATGCATTCTATTAAATGAATATCTTCAGCTAACTAAAACTTGGGTCTTGTGGCCATGCATTAGGCTTGCTCTGGAGTGTTCTATGTACTATTCCAGGCCAACCAGGGCAATGCAGTGAGATCCTGTCTCATAAAACTGTCCTTGAACTTCTGGTCCCCCCTGCTTCATTTCCCGGGGGCTGGATCCCAGGTGTGTACCCATCATTCTCGTCCTTTATTCTTGCACTGGAAGCCTGGGCTATTGAGATATTTCTTTTTCAGAAGAACACTGGATCCTACGTACACATCTTTCTCCAAGCTTGACCTTCTTAGATACACTGTGTCCAGTTCAACACATTTTCTGATTTCCTCAACTTTCTTTGAACAGCATATTTAGTGTGTGTTACATTTCTAAGTGGCCAGAGCTTTGCCCTTGGCTTGCTTTGGTTGTCTGCTCAGTTCTGAAGTGCTCTGTGGACAATGGGTTTCCTTTCTGGCCCCTGAAGCTGGCTACTATGTTTCAGGTCCCTGGAGTGCACAGGTTTGAAAACTTGCTCCATTGTTATTGGGTGGCATGGTTTGTGTATTATGTATTCAACTGGATCTTCGGCTTGATGGCTTGCAAGACTCCATGTCCCCAGGCCCCTCCCTGCCACATTAGGACTCTTTTGCCTTTTTATCATTCCGAGGACTCCTGAGGTCACTTTCCATTTCTCAGTTTCACCTCCAGCCTCTGGTCACCCTCTGTGGTGGACCAGGGCCCTGAGATTTCTTACCAGCTTCTAGCCAAGCTGCGGGATCAGCCAAGAACCGCTGGCTTGAGTTCTTGTGCTTCAACAAGTACTACCCACTGCCGCCCACCCTGCACCCTTGGGATCAGCACCATGGCCATGACCTACCCTTGGAGTCGGACTGTAGTGACATCTGATCATGTCATGATCTCCTTGCAGGTTGAAGGTGGAGGAGCTGGAAAGTGAGCGGAGTCGCCTGGAACAGGAAAAGCAGGCGCTGGAGATGCAGATGGAGAGGCTTACCCTACAGGTAGGTGATGGGATGTGCACTGTGCAACCTTTACTCCTCCCAGCTCCCGTGAATGAAACCCCGGACTTCCTCCTGTCCCTCTATCCTTACCTGACTGAGACGCACCATTTATCAGGATCATTGTCCAGGGCCCTCCTCATGCCCTTGGCCTTTCTGCTTTTCTGTTCTCTCTGGTGCTGTCGCCCAACGCTCCCATTTCCCTGTGGCCATGACCTTCACTGTTGTCTGCTTTGGACTGTTTCTTTTTAGTTTTCTTCCTCCTGATCACACTGCTCATGGCAAGAAGCCCACAGGTTTGAGAGTGCCTGGCTTCTAGACAGGCCATTGATTTTTACCTTGGCACCTATTAGAGGCAATCAAATCGTGTCCCCATTACCAATCTTGGTGATGGGAGAGGTGACAGCTTTGATGAAGTGAGGTGTTCTGAACCTTGGCTGTACTCAAGCCCAGCCCTAGGACCTGTCATCCTGTTCTGTTCTAATTGGGCCACTGTCCTGGGCCGAGGGCTGCTGGAGGGTGAATCAAGGCTACCTGGCTGCAGAATTGTGTCAGGATGGGGTGATAAATGGCTTTCGGTGCAGCTAGCTGAGACCTCAGGGACAGCACAACTGGAGGAAATGCCAGCGTTCTGCGCCCTGTGTGGATGACACAAGAGTGGGATTTGCAAGCTCTCCATCCTGCAGGACCACAAATGTGTGTCCTGGTACTGCTCAGACCTGGAATGCAGATCCCTGCTGGGAGCCGGGTGCTATTGGGCTACGTCCACACCTGCTGCGTGGGGAGCAGTGCAAGGTGGCTGGCACTGAGTGCAAACATGAACCACGCCCACAGCTTTCATTCGGCAGCGTGGCAGGCTGACCCTGGAGTGCAATGCCCACGTCGTGATATGATGGCCAGTAGCCCAGGGGTGGTGTACCCAGTGACATGGAAGCCTGAGGTGGCAGATAGGCAGCTGTGGCTTCAGCCCTCACAGTGGTAGAAATTTCTAGACAGTCCCACAGCCTCCACCACTGCCACCTCTCCAGACTGTGCTTATACTCCAGGAAGGAGGCTTTCCAGAGCCAGGCTGTCCCATTGGGCCTGACTCTCCTGTGTGGGCTTCCCCCACTTGCTCTTGGGCCAGGGTTGCTTGCTGTCCCCCAGCTACACTCTGCTTCCAGAGCTAGAGGTGATAGCAGGGCACCCCAACTCCTGACACACCCCAAGCCACCTTCTCCCCTAGCAGTGCTGAATCTCAGCTGGACTTCACAGATGGGCACGTGTCAGGAAGACCGGGTGATGGCCAGAATGCCTGCGTCACATCCTCATCCTATGCCACTCACACTGGCGGTCTCCCCAGGCGAGGTAGTGCCGTCTGTTTTATTAGCAAAGACAAAAGCCATTTACTCAACCTTTTTGATCCTGAGAGTTAGACTGAGTTCCACATTCTCCTCTGCACACCACACCAGCCTGTCCCCGTGTCCCCCACACCCCTGTCAGACAAACTTGTGGGTGGGCCAAATGTCTGTGTCTTGGATAATTAAGTCTCCTTCCCAGGCCATTGACCTCAGCTTAAGGGCCCCATGCTAACTACATGTGGCCATGGCTGCTTCAGACTGGGTCTGCTCTGTGTACCCCAGCTGTTGTCATACCTGGGCAGGGAGGGGTTTTGTACCCAGGGCTGAACTGGTCCTGCAAGGTGGCATTGGTCACCTGTGGTGAGGGACAGTTCCCATCCAACCTCACCGTCAGAATTGGTTTCTCACGGCTCATCCAGTGTGTGCAGGAGTGCTTGTCTGAGCAGCCTGTACGTCACACTGGCTGGCAGGGTGGTGGCAGGTCCTTCTTAGCACACGGGGATGGAGGCTGGAACATAAGAGACTGGGTCTGGGGGAAAGGCTAACAGGCTGGGGTGTCTCAGGAGTGGCCCAGGAGCTGTTCTCTGAGTCCATAGGTGACTTGAACAAGTGGAAAGAGGGCCCCCCCTTTCCCGCAACACACACAGTGGGTGGGCTTGGGCTTGTTGATTTCCCATCTGAGCCCCTGCACTTTGTTTATAGGGCTGGGGTAATGAGGATTCTTGAGGAAATCCTGTACTAGAGCCCCGCCCCCCACACCCCAAGCCCTTCTCAGCAAGCGCTCTGTCACTTTCTCATCACGGGCAAAGACCTTGTCCCCACTATATGTTGGTCCTGAACCTGGGCTGCTCGGGCACCAGGGAAAAAACATGCATCCTGGGGCTTCTCCCAGTGGCCTGGCCATAGCGCTTGATGACAGCCCCTTTGAGACCCAGGTCCCCTATGCCACTCTAATAGGGCTGCTTGGGTCCGGAACCCTGAAGAGCTTGGCCAGCCTTTGACTTCCCCAAGCCTTACCCATGTGCTCAGTATGCAGGCGGCTTCCTGCTCTCCCTCTCTCCTCCTCGCTCCTTCCCTCCAGAGGAGAAGAGTGGCTTCAAGTTGGCGCTTCAAGGAAGATTGATTAAAATCAGCTGCGGTTCATCTTAATTGGGAACATATGCTCGGAGAGGGAGCTCAACTAGTTAGAATTTTTTGTAATTAGTTCACAGCTGGTTGGCGAGGAAGCAAAACTCTGGTGACCACTTAGAGCTGGGTGTGTGGGCGTGCCTGGGGGCTCAGTGGATGGGTCATCACAGTGGCTACGTGTGGACTGGCCAAGTTGACGCCATCCTTCCTGGGTCTCCTGAGTTACTGGCTGTTTGCACACTGACCAGGGTGACCTGCATGTGTTGCTACTGTAGCTAGGGGGTGGCCATGGAGTTCTAGGGGCTACTTGCCTAATGGGATCTCTTACCAACTGACTGGCTGGACAGCAAACTTATGACTCACAGACGGCCTTGTCAAAGCTTCAGGGAGGCTAGACACAATGATGCAGGCCTGTAATCTCAGCACTGAGGAGGCCGAGAAGTAGGCTTTTATGTTTCAGAGCCTGGACTACAAACTGAGATCCTGTGTGGAAAGAGGGAAGGAAAGGCGAAAGATCTGCAGGAAGGCCTCACTTAGGGCTGGGGAAACCGAGGCTGGCACAGGCACAGATACAGAGATCTGAAGTCTCTCTCCGCTAGGCTCCTTGTATATCCCCAAAGAGCAGGAACAGCTACTTTATCACTGAGGCTCATGCTCCTCACCACGTCCCCATAAAGGCCTCCACACGTATGCTTCTGATGAACTGGGTCAGGAAATTGTGTGGGGTCACCAAGGAGAGGCCTCTCAGGGGCTTTGACCACCCTGAGGCTCAGAGGAGCCTGTCCACAAAAACTGCCTGGGCCCTGGCCTCCCAGCAGGGCATGTCATATCCCTGCCTAGTGAAAAGTGAAAATGTGGTGGCGACCCAGCATTAGGACTTGGTCATGCCTCCTGGGTCCCGCATCCTGGGCAGTAAGGGCCGGCCTCCCTGAAAGCTGTTCCTTACTGCTTCTCTCTAGTGCGTTACTGTGAGCATTTTCAAGTTAAAGAAGTTGAAAGAATTTTAGAGTGAATGCCCACTTATCCACCACCTACATCCTGCCGGGAACGGCACACTTGTGGCTGTATGACATTCCTACCCATCCCTCTGCCATCCATCAGTCCATTTTATTCTTTTGATGCATTTGAAACTAAATTGCAGACATCTGTACACTTCCTCTAAGCACTCGAGCATGCATGTAATTAAGCGAATTCATCTCTGGAATCTGACGCCCCGGCCCCCGCCGTCCTACAGCATCTCCTCATCTTGGAGCTGAGCTCCTCCCTCCACCAGTGAGGCTGTGCCAGTCGACCCCAGAGCCAGGCCTCTGAGATGACCATCCTCCATAGAGCCCTTCCAGTTCAGCCTGGCATAGACCTCCCACAGTCAGGGGAGGTTGGGCTGGTGTCCGTGCCACCTTGTAGTCCTCCTAAAGCGCTTCTCAGAACAGAGCCCAGACGGCTGCCCAGTGACATTTAAAATCAGTATATCTTTTTTGGAAATGGAGTGGGCAGAAAATTGCTGGGTTTCCTGGGAGCGGAAAGCTCTCTGTGCCTGCAGACGTCCCTGCTCCTGTCTGCGTCACAGGCAGCAGTGCGGTTAGGGTGCCCAGCCTCACCTCTTCCTGTGCCCACACCTGCCTCACATCCACCTTCCCCGGCAGCATCCTGGGATCTGCCGAACGTATGGCCCTCTGCCTTTTTGCTGCTCCAGTGGCTCATGTCAGTAGCACCGATCCAGAGCCTCTTGCTCAAGTCAAGGACAGCATCCCAAGCCCTCACCTGTCCCACCTCACACTACCCTCCCGGTCTTGATCTTTGACTGCTTGCTGACCCAGGCATCTGTCTTCTGGGTGGCTCACTGCACACACACTTCTACAATGTCAGGGTGTCACCATGAAACACGCACGTCAGGCAAGGCCCTAAGATAGGCTATGGAAGAACTAGCATTGTCTAGATCCTTGATTTCCAGGCTGTGCCAGCACTGGTCTCTCATGTCCCCCAGCCCCAACCTGAGTGCTGAGTGACACTGAGAGGTGGCATCAGTGTTCCCTGTGCAAAGGCCATGAAAGGCCGTAACATGCCACAGGGCAAGAAGTGGCATACCAGCATTCAGACATCAGAGCAGAGAGTTGGGGTTTTCTGTAGGAGCACCTCAGACAATCCCTGCCTGCCAGTCCACATCAGCCCAGTTCTTTCCTAACAACCTGGAATGTCTCTGAGGCCCACAGAGCACTGCACTTCTATGCATCATGCAGTGTTGCCTAGGCTGCAGGGTCCAAGTCAGAATCCCCTCTTGCCACTGTCTTGAATCCATTTGCTCTGCCTAGCCTAGCCATGACCAGCACTCCCATCCTGCTCAGCCTAGCCATGGCCAGCACTCCCATC